CCCCCCCCTCCTCCTCTTGGTCTTCAACTTATTTATTGTCACTTCTCAATCCCTCCCCCCCCCCACACTCTCTATTGATAAATACCATCTTTCTAATCAATTTTAACTCTTCCCACTCCCCCAGGTGAAATCGTCACTTATAGTCAAAATCCAACTTTGCTCTTTTCAACCACACCTCGACTCTGTTATTCCTCTCCAGTTCTTCTCGGTCAACTCCAATATTCATGTCTTTCAACCGCATCCAGCCACTCTATATCTCTTCATATTATTATTAATCCAATGCTATCGTACTCTTTGCGGCTCTATGCTTAGTGGTGCTCTTATCAAATTGCATTATCTATCATTTGGCAGCACTCACCTAAAACTAAGTCACTCAACATATCTCCTTAATCGGCCCTAATTAAGCTTACCCAGTATAAAAGTTATTGTTTCAATATCGATGTTAGTAGTTTTAATAGATTGAAACTGTGCTCATGATGACACTCAATTCCCACGAACCTTTTTACATATTCACGCATTCCTTCTGTTGGCCAACTATAGACGCGACAATTTCATCACTTAGTCTTAGATTTTTATAGGTTAGTGGCAAAATGTTTCAAATACCCATAGAAAACATATGCCTCCATCAGGCTTATTTACTTACAATGCATTAGTAGCGATCTCTTTGCGCTTGGTGTAAGATTGCTCTGTCCTCTCCAAAACACTGGAGACGAGAAGGTTTTAATTGAATGACGCTTCCAATCAGACAGAACGAATGTCGCCCCCCCCCCCAGCCTCCAAAGATGTAGGGGATGAGTGCAGAATGTTTGCTTGTTTTACTTTGTAATTTTAAAGAGGACAAGGAAAAGTGTACTGCAATGCGAAGAAAAAGTGGCAGAGTACAAAGGAACTACTTGAATAGGACATCTGTTGTCATCTTCCGTGGAAGAGATCAAGTCGGTTACATAACTAGCAAAAACTTGTATTATTTAAGGTGTTTGAGGATATCTATACATCGTAACTGTATTTGAGGTAAATTTGGCATTTTCATCAAGAAGAATAAAAGTGATTTGTACTTACATTATTTAATTGATTCATATGGAATTCAATGGATAAGGTGATAACACTATTTTAAAACAGTTTTCCTCGAAATGGCCCCCACGGACGTCTACTATGACCCCAATCCCCAAAACCTGAATGAAGCTGATTTCACACTTTTCAGGAATAATACCTTTATTCTGTACAATAATTGTTTGGCTTTTGAAGTATCGACATGCCAACTAGAGTCCTCCTTCACACCTCCAAATAGATACGTAATCAATAGTTGGGTAATGACCTGGGAAGATAGAGAACACGGTTTACACGCATTACGTTTGGTGTAGTTCAAGAAATTGGCTAACAGCCATTTCTACCTTTGTCTGCGGTGTTTTTCGGAAAGGGAGGGGGAGTGGAGGAGGAGGAGAACTAAAGACTAATACAAATTACCCCCCCCCCAAAAAAATTCTAGTTCGTTTTGGTCAACCCTTTTCGTTGTCACCGCATATTTGTGTAAAGAATGACTAATAGATCCAAGGAAAGTGTAATATTTTTGAATATATTTAACACAACTGGAATACTCTCTCAAATACTATTTCGTAAAATTTAAACAAAAAATCCTTCAAAAGTAAATCGCTGATATGCAAAACCGATGGTGTAGTGGTCGAAGCACCAATCTGCCGTATCTATCGATGCTCATGAGGTGAATGGAATTGACGGCACCACTGAAAAAAATTCCAATAAATCAATCGTTTTCTGATTGTTAATAATTTAATAAAATAGTGCCATTTCATTCTTATGAAATATGCCTTATCATGAAATAGGGACTGGACATTTTCCAATACGCCTTTGATATTTAACCGGATATTAAAATGCATGATTTAACATGAAAAAATGAAAAAAACCTATTTTGTCCTAATTTATGATTCGACATAAATTTGCATCTATCAAAAATAATAATTTACTTTTACGGTACTTAATTAGTGAAAGTATTTTTCATTAGGGAGCGGACCAAATTTATAATTGTTATTACTTGAATTTTTTAAAAAAAGAGTATTTAGAAATAAATACTTAGTAAGCAAATGGCATTTCACTAATTGAAAATTTGAAATTGAAGACCGAATTCCGCGTCTATTCGAGTTGTGACCTTCGGTTGATACAAACACTGAAATTAAATGTCGACACACGAGGGATCAACTTGATTTGCTCCTTACAATAATAAATTTAGTTATTTTGCCAAAGCGAAAGGGAAGAGGGAAGGAGAGAGGGGGAGAGAGAGAGTAAGGTTGGGTGGGTGGTGAGCTAATTAAACATGCAGTTGAGGTAGGGAAAGGGATTTTAAGCAAAAATTACTTCCACTCCAATATCCTAATGCTAGTCTCCTCTAAAATGCAAAGGTCGAACAAAAAATATACTATTGCATCAATGATGTATGAAACTCCACCGCACCACTATTGCATTTCGTGGCGTTGAAAATTGACTTGATGACTAGAATGAATCCGAAATCTGATTTTCCACAAAACCCACTCTTGTTGCACGTAAAGTGCATAAAATGAAATTTTAAACTCAAAGGAATAATTGGAAAAGAAACGAGGAAAATGCGTGCATTTAACTTTGAGCAATTCACGATAACACCTGGAGAACTTCACAGTTATAGACAAAGTCAAGGCCATTTAACACCATTGATTGTTTAAAACCTTCCTTTGAGGCAAATTATTTTCATTAATAATTAGTTTTATTTGAGAAGATTATAGGATTCACAATAGTGAAATACTGTGGAGTAAAAGTGTTAATTGTTGGGGAGGTGGAAGGGGGGGGGGGTGTCAGTAAAAGTTGGTGTTCCAAAATTCCAGCCTCAGAGTCTGACTTGCCTATTTCTTGATTCCAATTAAGACATACAAATAATAATAACCCCTATTTGCAAGTTGTTAAACAGAGAGGTTGTTTATGACACAAGATTTCCCATTTTTATTTGTTTAAGGGAAAGGAATAGCTTAATGGTATAAGCCAAGTGGTTTAAATTCGATTTGCAAAGGAAAGGTTATAAATACCATCATATAAGATTCAATTAAACGTATTTATATTCAAGGACCGATTTAGCCTGTCTGAATTTGTTTCACACCACATCTCCTCATTTTTTTTACAATTCAGGTCTTACATCTACAACCAACAAGGTCACTTGAATGAATCTTATGTAATTGAATTTTGTTTAAGAGTTTTTGGAAAAGCACTTATCGTATCAAAATAAAATAGTTTTAATTGCAGAAACAAAAGTACAATCAAGTTTGCAATTTCATTATGTAAAGAAAATTTGCTCTTTGAAGCAGTTCTTAAAGAATTGTAGATAATTCCTGACAAAAAATCAATAAATTATGCACTTTAAAATTAAAAGATCATCGAAAAATGAATTATTAAATGATCAAAATTAATTAAAATTTTATTAGGAAAAATAAATCATGAGGTTATTTATAATTAAAAGAACTTCTGAAAAGCTTTCAAATCTACTTTATCGACAATCCTCTGCACTGACAGAAAGTAGATTATAAATACTATCAACTAATTTCACTTTATACCTAATAAAGACGTGGCGACCAATCAACGTACGCCACATATTGTGTAAAAGTTTTAGGTGGTATTGTTGAAACACCAATCGAAATGGTGATAATAACTGCATAACTATTTAAAGCCAAACTAATTAATTCACTAAGTCCACTATCTTCACAATAGAGCTGTTCATTTCGGCGACTTCTTCTTAAAATTATTTTGTTTAATTCTAACCGGTGTCACATATGGAAATTTTACCAGAGCCTTGTGATTGGAGTGAATTTGAGAAAAAACAAAGGAGACTTGAAGATACAGTTAGTGAAAAGAATGAGAAAAAGTCGCTTTCAACTGATATGACATCGTTAGAGCAAAGAACACTAATTTCGATTTCGTCTGATGAGGAACAAACCACTGATGCCGTGGAGGAAATGTCTACTCAAAATCGAAGTAAGGGGAGAAAATTTTGATAAGTTAATTTTGAGATTCCTTCATGAAATCTAATTATCTTTCTCTATTCATGTTTTTACTTTGTTTTTCAAATAATGCAATTAACAGAATTCATATGAATAAATGAATGGCAGAGTATCAGAAAGAGATCTCAGTTATTTTGTATTTCATAAAATTCTAATGCTTAAAACCATTGAAACCCCTTATAATATGAAAATTAACTTGGCTTTTGAATTGCCTGTATGCTTAAGTGTCGCCACATAGTCTACTTGGAGCAAGCTCCGATCTTTGCAATGGTTTCATTGGTGAATTAGCTTAAACCTAATATGAAATTTACCAATTTTAACTCTAACGTGTTGGAACATATTTTCAAGGTTTAATTCAGCCATGAATTTCACTGAAAGGAGGAGTATATCAAACAAGAGCTAAGATTTGAAAATTATCAAAACATTGTTGAATTTCATTGAAGTAATCTTTTTCTATCATTATTATTTAACGTGTATGGAGAGGAAACGTAGCCAATTATGGGTACTTCTTTGTTACTGCTCTGATGGTAAGCATAAAGTATATTGTAACTTTGTTGAGCAGAATTAAACAGATCTCTTCAAATTCAGTACTCGTCCAAGTTAAATACTCCTCCAACAGTTCAGGCAATTTTATGGGGGTGAAGACATAGTGGAGCAACTTTAAGTGAAAAACATATTTTGACAATTCCGCTTTTGAACGTTCTGATCTTTGAATATACACAGATGACTACCGATTTCATGACATCAGGTTTTGAATTAATCGGAAGGTTTGTTAAACCTTTAATTGTAAATAATGTTATAATGCGTTTTCCTTAGGTTATTATCTGTCATCGATTTTTGACAAATGTTACAGTGTTAATGCTTTAAGCGTCTGCAACAATTCCACCAATTTAGTGAGATTTTGTCTGACCTTCACATCACCATATGTGCCAAACAAGAAACTAATTTTAATACAACTAAATTTAGTGTTAAATAAGGTCTCACATGACAGTGTGAATATTCATTGAAAAGCAAAATTGATTTGAGATAAATTTGAAAAGAGAGCAATTTACATTGATTTATTATAAAGTTTTTCTGCATGTTTGAAGACGCCATCTGCTCAGAAGGGATAATATAACTTCTCCTCGTAAAAGATGGGAGATAAAGATTTTGTTTGAGGGGAAATGTGGTATTCATGGGAAAGGAAGGATTTTTTGTACCTGCAAGGTTATGAGGAAATTTTGAAGATAATCAGATCAATTTAAACGCGCTTACCTCTGTTATTTCATTTGGTGATAAAACGACTTCGATTAGGCGTTCTTATAAGGGGATTGCATCCACGTCTTCATCTTGTGAATGTGTACGTCAGCTAATTTTTTTCAATGCCTGGGAAAAATAGAGCTTATCTGGATCCATTTCGTCGTTCGCCTTTGGTGTAAATTGTCAAAAAATTCGCATTTTTTGTCATTTGAGACCGATTGTTTTTATAAATCAAAATGTGAGAGTAAGTGTATAAAACTTCATTGAATTCTTAATGTAATATGGGCAAAGATTAAAGTTGATTATTAATTGATTAAATATAACTTCCCTATTCCAATAATCAATACAACTTTTGCGCTAAAAACGTGTGCCATATATAAGAAATATTCCCAAAAATTTTTATTGTCATTCAGAGTATTATATTAATCTTTACTTTTTTATAATTTAAGCTATTTAAGTGAAATGTATGTACTATTTAATTTGACGCATTTTAGATGGGTCTTTGCCATCAGAAGGAACCAACTACTCCAGAATGCAACCAGACACAAATGAAACCACAAAAACGCTCACAACGGTCCCTTCCAAACAGAAAACCGATGTTCCAATCACACCCAAACCAATTGAAATTGCCTTCTCTATAAATCAACTGACAAAAATGCAGGACCAAGTTAAGAAAGTACATTCAGCAATACCGACTACCAGCTTTACTATATTCTGTCCAACATACAATGTGAATCCCGAAGGCATCTATCTCCCTAGTCCAAGTGCATTTCCTTCCCAACCGCCAATGAACCCAGAATTTAGAGTGCCCCTCCCAATTCCTCAGCCATGTATAAAAACTGTTCCAATTATTCTTACTAACCCTTCACTTGGTAGTAATTGTAATGGTATGGTTTTAGTTTACTTCAGTGTGCTTATAATCATTTTTTTTAAGACTCATAAAATTTTGCCCCGTCTTCGCATTTAGAGAAACCATCCACGTCACTTCAAGGAAGACGCAGTGGATCGTCATTAGAAGTTGATAAGCCTCGCAGAAAATATAGAAGACGGTCAAATGCCAAAGTTTGCGATTCCTCAAAAGGTAAATTCAAAATAATTGGGCATACAGTTTTCAAACGTGACATGATATCAGATTTGTCATGTTAATAAGAATTTTTTGAACTTTATATCCTTCCATTCTTTTATTAAATATTCTAGTATTTTAGTTAAATGTGGAAAATTGGTCATTGATTTACTCTAAAGTAGTTAAGTTTACCTCCATATAAGCGTTGTATCAAGTAATTTCTAAGAGACAATTGAGAGAAGTTGAATGCCAGAAATCAAATTGAAGTTTGAAGATCGTTGCGAGTGCAAATGTTAGGTGGCAAATGAAATGGCATTCAGTCATATTATGTAAGTAAAATATGATAGCTGAATGCGTCTTAAAGATTATGTGCGTAATTTAGGCTGTTAATGATTAGTCATTAATGAAATATGTGCTCATCAAACTGAAGAACTCCATTTTGTTTTTCGTTTTTTTTCAATCTAATTAAATGTAACACAGTTAATGCAAATGGGCTAGGATTTGGAGTTTTGGCTTATAAAAAAGATAATTAATAAACTTGCCCTTTCACCTTTCAAGAACAGATTCAGGAACCCGGGAAACGTACTGCCGTGACCCGGCCAAAACGCCCATGCAAATCCAGACAAGTTTCAACACTAACTACAGTCTCTGCTATGTCCGGTGTGAAGGACGGTGGTTTAGCTGATGAAAGTGACTGCTGTTTCAGAAAATCCTTGTCGTGCCTTCCAGATGCCTCATGTTCACTTCAGGAGTTTTCTGCTGACTGTCCAAAGTGTGTCGCATACGCTAAACAAGTTGGGACGCTTATTAAACGTCTAACAGCCATTGCAAACACCCCTAATGATATTATAAGTATTTTTGAGCTTAAACAACTGCTCGTTGAAATGGATAACCAAAATTTCACAGCAATTATGATTAAATTGTTGGAGGCATTTCCCAGAGAAATGGTAAAGCATATAACCGCTTAAAAAATACATTCATGACATCTGTTTTTGTTGCTTCAGTGATAAATACATTACCCCTTATATAAATCATTGAATTATAATAAGAATAATAATGTTTTGGGATAAATAGTATCACAATAGATTTATTAATACCTGTTTTATTGCTAACTTAAATTGGCATTAGAATTTTCAAGGCACATCTTTAGATTTTGTATTATTGCCTAAAATACAAATTAATGAAACCATAACTCAAGTGGAGCCAAATACATATTTTTTAGGTCGAACTTTACACTTACTTATTAAATATTAACAAAGTTGAAATATTCATTAATCAATATAATTTCCCCTCCAAATTGACCACGCAGTATGCAGGCAGTGTCAAATAATGCATTAGCAGATTCCAAGTGATCTAATCTTATTCTGTAGCTTATATTACAACTGCTTTCTGGCAAATGCTTAGCCTATCTCAAATACTCTACTCTATTTCACCATACTCCATAATTGAAATAATTATCAGCTAATAATCCCCAAATTAATAGTTGTCGCATTTTCGTGATTTGTTCTATGATGTTATTGATTTCCTTTTTCCATCAAATCCGCCTTAGATTCTCGACTTGTTTGACCTTTGAACCTTATTTTGGATTTGTGTGCAATAAAACCATTGGATATTTGAAGTGGTTTAGTTCGCAATTCAAATTTTAGAATATTTTCTGCACATTAGACGAAGTCACCTAGGTTAATTTATTGTCCAAATCTTTGAGAACAAGCGTTATGAAAACTGGTAAAATTTTTAGTAATTAAGAGAAATTTTGAGATTCGGTTGAAATCCAGTCACCAAAGAGACTGATTGCTTGTTGCATCTCTGTGTAAAAGAACATCATGACATTGTTTCCTCCTTTCTTCAAAATATCATATTTATTTAAAAATCAAATACTGATAACATTTTAATAACATAGAATAATTTCTTTGTCATATTACCAAAGTAAATGATCCTTTTACCTTAAAAAAATACTGTGGTTTACATTAAATTGGACTATTTACCTTTCATTAATGAGCACGAATTCTGACCTTAAGGATAAACATTAAATTCAAAAATTATTTTGGTGAGAAAAGCAAGGTTTAAATTAAAGTAAAATATTTGCTGACGCAATGAGATATATTCACATCTTTTTGAGTGTTTAGTTGACGGAAGTTCCACTTCATTGGGGGCCCATCACCACTAGAGAGCCTATAATTTGATTAATCTAATTACTAGTCATCTGATAAATTGTATGAATCAAAAAATATTTTTTGCTCTAAATTCCATTCAAATTAAGTGGAAATGTTTAAAATTATTTTGTTTAAATAGTGTAAATAGTCCTGAAAGATTTTTCACCATTTGTTTCTAGTTAAATTGTTATTTGAAATTCGCTGGAAAATATATTTTTTCATTCAAGCTTCTTAAAATATTTATGAAGGAAGCTTATATAGAAAATTTTTGCATTTTGAGACATTAGCTCGTATCCCAACAATATCTATAAGAAATAGAATATTTTGTAACGTAGTTACAGTAATTTTAACAAAAAATCAATGTGTTTAAAGACAAATTTTGTGGATATTTCAGTAAATATTTAAATTACCTTCAATTAAATATTACAACATGAGGTTTTGAGAATGCATTTTTCAAATTTATAAAACATTAGGTTTTTAAAATGTAATTACAAATTAGCAAAAATTGCCACTGTAAATTCTACTTATAAACAATTATTTAGCCATGCATCAAAGGAGAGTAGGCATCTATTTAAAAATCCCCTATTAAAATTCGTGTCTGAGATGTAATTTGAGGACGAAAAATGGATTCGCACTAGAGCTATTTCCGTTAGGTGGGTGTAGAGGGGGTGGGGTTATAGAAATGAGCTTAAAAGTGAACTTGACTCTAAAAATACAACTTAAATTCTTAACTCTCCATGGTTTCCTCTTCCTCAGGTTCTCCAACTTTAAGGCAACTAAAAGTGCTAATTTTGACTAAAACATGCTCCAGCACATGCTGGCGTTCTCATTTCTATTTCGCGTACTTTTTGGATGTCATGGAGTCGGAGGAGCTATTTCACCCCTTAAAAAATTGCAGTTTATAAGAGTGTTACTGTAGCTAAAACAAGGAAAACCATCTAAGAACATGATTTGGAGCGAGAGTCTTCATTTAAAATGACATTATGAAGGAGGAATTCCTCATAGGCTGCGCAATTCTATTCAATAGCAGTTGGTGTAGAGCAGATGCATAAGCAACGTCAATCCTACCAGCAAAAAAAGATTTTGTTATTATTACCTCTCAGCGGCCTCAGGTACGCAACTGAAAACAGTAAAGAAACATAAATAAAGAAATATTCCATCAATTTGGTCCCACTGAATTGAATTGGCTAAACTTTTAAAGCGCCATTAATACTTCAATGTAATTTTATGCCATGAAGCAATACTTACTTCTTGCTATGCAATGTTTGACATAAATTATTGATGAGATTACATTGCAATCCAGGTAAACTTCAGTGATCAGATAGAAATTATGCAACATTTGAGGGCCCTACCCTGGAACATGGCCTTGAGATCAGAAATTGCACTATGCTCTACGACTTCAAGGAGAGCAAATGTGTCATGACAATTGAGTAGAAGAGTAAACAATCACAATCAGTTTTTAGATTGAACTATGAGAAACAAATGAATATTGAGGAGGTTTCATGACAATATTTAGGAGAAAAATGAACTACAAGGGGCTTCATGAACACAGGGAGAGATTTAATCCCAAAGTAAAATAAATAAAGTGGATAACTGATCTAGAACCTTAAACCCAGATCAGATTAAAACAAATTAGATCATGCTGGCTAAACACTCTAATCGATGCAAAGAGTGTCTTCTTCTGACTGGTTCGGGAAATATGTAAAAATGAATTTTCATTATAAATGATTTCCTTTTGCCGGATCATGTTTTTATATCATTTTGACCTATGTATAAAATTATTATAGATTCTTTCCCGATAAAGCTGGCTTTGCTGCTCAAACTCTCTGCTAGCCACACCTAACAACTGATCATTATGGTTAGTGCATAGACACTGAACCTGTCACTACGATTTGAAGTCAGAGAGGATTACATTACACTTGGCATGGATATCCTAACTAAATTCTTTCAGGCTCTACAAAATAATTAAGAAATTTGTTTTTTGTGGCTCAGGGGAACACTAATTGACGATTTTGTATGATAAAAAAGATTAGCAAAGATGAATTTGGACACGCTTTTAAGATGTAACTTAAAATAGCTGACATACATTTTACAATTCACTTTTTTAGCAGAGACACCTTTAGTTGTAGAGAAATTTTATTTAGATTACTTACCTATGATATAATTTATTCAAGCATAAAAATGTCTAATCCATTGATAAGAACATTTCGTTCAAATCTCAGAACAAGAGAGAGATAAGAAGTCGCCAAATCTCTAGAAATGGGTGCTTGAAGAGAGCCTTTTATCACGAAGTGATTTATTTATATCAAATGGGAGGCGTTTTGATAGTTATCATTAGCCCTGGAGCTGAATTCGGGGCTTCATGAAGAAGAGAAGGAACATCAAAGTGACAAAAAGTCGAGATGGGAGACAGAATAATGATTCACAGAGGTAAAAGAGACAGACAGACGCACACAAAGGCATAAAAAAGGTAAGATGAGTACTGTGAAAGGGGTCGAATATGAAAAATAGTCGGGCCATAGAAATTTGAAGTCAGAAGTCAACTGCCGATCAATAGACTTTATGCCGTATAAGTATACGTGGAGGTAAGTCTATTGAAGAAGAGAAGACAAATTCTTTTTACATATATTCACATTTTGATGGAAAAGTTTCTCATATTTCCTTGCAACCTACTCTAAGCAAAGAGGAAATCAGCGAAATTGTAGAATATAAATTTTCTTAAGAGTTTTTCCGAAAAAAAATAGAAGATACAGATCAACAAAAAATGCCCCACAAATTTAGTATGAATGACGCATCAATGTAGGCGTAAGTGGTAAAAACGTGTCCTACACCACTTTAT